CTAGGCCTGGCTCAATATATTGTTTTGTTATGTAAGACAGGGTCTCACTGTGTAGCCCAGGTTGCCTTGAGTTTCCAGCAGCCCTCCTGCCTCAGCCCCCGAGTGCTGGGCCTGTAGCCGCGCTCTGCTATGCCCAGCCGTATGTCCTGTGGTGGTCATAAACTGCTTTATCTGTGGGTATTCCTATGTACTCAGTCAGCCCCCGATGTCCGATACCTAAGTTGTCACCCTCCCCTTTTCTTTTTGGTGCCCTGATGGAGGATGTTGGAGTGAGCATCTTATTCTCCTGAGGCATAAATGTGTCAGCCCACAGGAGGGGTCCAAGACGAAGCGCATTTTTAGGACTTGTGACACAGAATGACATTAGCTCCTAGGCCACCCCCTAACCTAGCTCTCTTGCCTCCTGTGTCTTCCAGACGCCCGGGAACACTCGCCTCTCCCGTGCCCACCCGGCCTCCTTCCGCAGCCACACACAGTCGGCCGCCCTTGACCCAGGAGGCCTGGCTCTCCCGCCCCCTGCCCCGCGCCCACCGCCACCTGAAGCCACCAGCTCCAATTGCCAGCCGCCTCCGCTTGTCTGAAACACGACAGCCGAACCAGAAAAGGCTCCAGCCCTCCACAGATCCCAGGACTCGCTGCTTGGCGCGGCGGCCTCCTCCTTCCTCCTGGCCTGCGTGCGCTTTGGTTTTTTATTTCAAATGGATGTTTTAAACAGAAAAACAAAACAAAACAAAACAAAACAAAACTACCTTCCGTCTCAGAAGACACTGACCGATTTGGAGAAGGCCTCGGGACTCAGAGAACCTGCTGGGCCTGGCCGCCCTGCAAAGGTGGCCAGGCTGGGCCACCCGGGAGGCAGCTCGGCTCCTCTTCTGGATGTAAGGCCGCCGAGAGGCTGGGATGGTGGCTGGTGACGCCTGTTATTTTTTTGTGATAACAGTATTGTGCTTTTGTGGGGAAAGTGAGGTTTTTTTTAATCCTCGTATATAACTGACATCCTTTATTTATTGGTAGTTAACATTGCTGCTGCCCCTGCGCCCCGACGGTCGTGTGTCCACACCACACTCGCTTGGTGAGGTTCAGGCCTGCAGCGGCCAAGAAGCCAAAAACCACTTTTTTTCCTCTTCAGATACTGTGCTTGCTGTCTGCAAAGGGGCAGGGGGGGCTCCCCAAGGCTCGCACACCGTCCCCCCGCCAGCTCCTCTGGGCCCTCGTGCCGGCTGCTCCCTGCCTCCTTTCTTCTGCCCCCCTCTGGTCTGGGACAGTTTTTTCTTTTTTAGCTTAAGGACAAGCAGGCAACACACCTGTCCCTTTCTCCTGCTTGGTGTTGGCAGCTGTGTGGGAAAGGAATCGTCCGTCCCCGTGGGCAGCCCCACACAGGTCAAGGGCGCTGCTGCTTTCTCGCGGAGACTGGTGGGAGGGTGAATGTTGTCCCCGAGTCCCTCCTGTGCTTCTTGCCCCTTCCAGCTGCCTCCTGCAGGGACTGCATGGCGTCCTGCCTGGTGGCTCTGCCCAGGCGCTGGAGGGAAGCCTGGAGGAGAGGCGCTTCCTGCCCCTCACAGCAAACTTCTCTGGGATGGCCTTGAAGTGTCCCCAAGAGTGCCAGATGAACCTGCAGCAGTCTGCGGCCGAACCTGCCCCTTGCTTGGTGGCTGCAGGACTGCCTGTGGCCTCTCAGGCCCTAGCCGGGTCACTGAGCAGGGCTGGGAGGGTGGCCTGGGACCCCTGAGTGTGCAGCTGCCTTTCTAGCTTGACACTGTGCATTCGGAGCTTGGAATCCTGTCACCTGTGTTTGCAGCGCTGGGGCCTGTGGTTGGGGTGGCCCGGCACCTGCACAGGTGGGCGCTGTCACAGTCACAGTGTCATCCAGCTGGCTCTTGGCCCACACCTTCAGGTGTATGTGGCTGTGGGTTGCTGGTATGTGGGGTCTGGCCCAGGGCCCAGTGTGGCCCATGACACCTTGCACCTCCCTGCAGTGCTCCCAGCCCCAACTTGTCCTCACCGATGGTCCCTGGCCGGAAGTGTGCTTGCAAGCAGGGAAGCGCAGGCTGCAGTGAGTCCTGGCTTCCTCTTAGTGAAGAGCATGGCCCCTGGGCCACCCTCAAGAGGGCCAGAGCTGGCCTTCGGTCTTGCTCCAGAGGTCCTCAGTCCCATCTCTGCCCCAGGGGCCAGAGCCCCCCTGCCAGCACCCAGAAGACATTTCCTGCCATAGGGCAGCGTGGCAGAGCCTTCAGCTGCTTTCTGTCTCCACTATCAGCCCGGATCCCGAAGGAGACCCCCCAGGGTGATTTGGGGAGGGGGTCTTCTGGGGCTCCCCTAGGATGGCTTCCTACCCAGCCACCAGCCAGGAGGTCTGAACCTGACCATGGTCACTGTAGCATTTGCGTCCCACTCCTGCCAGGCCCATAGGACCCATGGCAGGGGTGGCTGCGTGGCCCGGGGCTGCAGGGTGACTGTGGGCCCATCCTGGCCATCTCACCTCGGCTTTGCAGAAGCCATGCTGGCCTCTGGCCAAGCAGGGGCCAAGAGGCTGCTGTCTAACCAGGAGGCATGTCCAGGTTTAGCACGTGCTCTCTCTCACTGGCACCTCATTCCTAGTCACTCCCACATCAGCCAGGCCTTCTCCCAGCACCCCAGCCTGTCTGGTGGAGCCACAGGTGTGGTTTTGGTCTTGGCAGGTCCTGTCCTTGAGGACGGTGGCCTAGCAGGCCCATGCCTCAGACACACCTTTGGCTTATGCCCTGAGAAGCCCAGAGTTGCCTGCAGGGACACCCCCTTCCTGGTGGGTATCTGGACACTGGCCATTTCCGCTCCAGGCCACTTCTGTTTCTGTCCCTTCCTGTTGCCAGCCCTGTAAATGTGGCAGCCTCTGGGTTCCAGGGTGACCCCGGTGTGCTTTCCACTTGCGGTCCCACCCTGGTTGATGCCCCTCTGTTCCCCTGCAGAGCCACGAGCCCCCGGGCCCCAGGAGCAGGGCCCTGCCTCTTCTCCAGCATCTACTTCCCACTTTGTGTTGATGGTGACTTAGGAAATGTCACGATTTTCCAGTATTTAACCAGGCAACTTTTAAAGTAACATCCAGGCGAATGTGTGTCATCTCTGTATTGATGTCTCTTCTAAAGGCTTTACAGTTTGACAGCTAATGTCCTAGACAGGAGTCTCTGGGCTCTTGGGGACATGCTTTCTTCTTGGGGGGAGGAGGGAAGGACGCTCAGGGACCCCTGGAGTCTCTCCAGATGTTCTGAAGGGAAGGCTGCCGCATCTTCCCAGGGCAAGGTCCCCTTTGACAGGCTCCAAGGACGCGCAGGGGCTCCCCCTGCTGGTGATGGGCGGCAACAGCGTCTGGGCCCCCAACCCCACCCAGCAGGGTGGAGGTCAGCTGCAGGGGCTGGGCTCCGTCGGCCGCTTGATTGGCAAAGTGTCGCCCAGGTGCCCTCTGAGGCCGGCTCAGGGGCTAGCGAGTCACTTAGCCCAGGGGCACTGATGGGAAGCAAGCCTTGACCGTCCTCCCTCCTTTATTATTTTTTTAAAATACCTGCGGAATAAACCCAATGGTTACTTTTTGAATGAATAAAAGGCTTTTGTTGAATAAACAGCTGGTCCCATCTCTGTCTTATCCCCGGCCTTCAGACTCGGCTTCGTCTCCCGAGGCCGAGGGCGGGTGGGACACGCCCTGCCCGCATCGCCTGGCTGCAAGCTTCCTCTAGGACTCGGGGAAAGGCCCTTCTGGGGCCTCAGTTTCCCCATCCCGCACGTAGGAACACGGCCGCCTCCCAGGGCCGTTAAGGACTAGGGTGACCAGAGGACCGGGGTGCGTCCCGCTGTGCTTGCTCGTGTCCTCTCCTGCTTGCCTTCCCAGCTTCCCGGACTCTGTTCGGGCCACCGTCCTGTGTGTGTCTCCGGGCGGGCGAGGGGTGGCCCCTGCCTGGCAGTGCTGCCAGAGCTGACGGGGCTGTGTCGCATGGCCTGGCCACCGCCCACGTGCCTGCTGTATGTCGTCCGTGTCACGCGATTAAACACGCTTCCTGGACCTGTCCTTGCTGCGTGCGGCCTGTTGCTTTGTCTGTTTGTTTCTGTCTCGCTTCATTGACCCCCTTGCTCCCAGCCGTGTGCCCCGGAGGAAGCCCTGGGTTGCCACAGGGAGAATCTTGGGCGGGTGAGGGCAGCCTGAGGGCAGCAGGGAGAAGCTGTGGGTGAGATTGGGCCTCTCCTTCCCCTTTGTCTGGGGGGCCCCCTGCCTCAGCTGCTGTAAGATTATGATGCTGGATGTGATGGGACCTGCCTGTAATCCCACCACTCTGGGAGGCTGAGGCAGGAGGACCGCCAGTTGGATCACACCCTGGGGAACTTGGGGAGACCGTGACTCAAAATAAAAATGGGCTTGGGGGGCAGCTTGGTGAGAAGGGCCTGGGTTCTCCCCTGGGTTCCTGATGAGGGAACTTGGTCAGCGCTGGGGCCCTGGGAGCTGGGCCCTGGGGCCATGGGTGGCACTCTGAGAGCCCTTGGCCAGATGGTGGCACTGTCAGATGTCCCTGGCCCAGGGACTTCTGCAGCTGTGTTGTTCTCTGTGGTCAGAGCTCACAGGCATGTGGCAGACCCCAAGGGGACATGCCAGGGTTGACGGTGGGTGACAGCTGCCCTTGCACACCCTGGGATCTCCCAGGCGCCCCCTTCACTCTGCTCAGGTAGCCTTGCCTGTGTAGTATACCTGAGCCCGCCCTGGAGGGCACAAGGGGTCAGAGAGTGATGGCTCTTGCTCTGGAGCTTGTGGAGGACACATTACCGCAGGGAACCATAAAGAGCAACATCAGGGCAAGAGAGTAATCAACACTTGGGAATTACTGCTCCTCGCTGGGCAGACTGGCACACACTTGCAACCCTAGCTACTCAGGAGGCTGAAGCAGGAGGATTCCAAGTTCAAAGCCAACTTTGGATTTTTTTTTTTTTTAAGAGTTGGGCATGTAACTTAGTGTGAAGTCCTGGGTTCAATTCCTAGTACTCTTCCCAGAAGAAAAGACATCTGTTGCTCTGGGCCTAGCTTCTGGAAGAAATAGGAAGCGCATGGGTGGACAGGATCCAGCGACCTCCATCAGGGTGAGTGGGTGAGTGCCCGCCTGCAAAACCCAGCTGCTTGGCAGTAGGAGTTCTGGTGAAACGGATCGGCAGTTCCACACTGCGGCCAGGCAGAGCGGAGGGCCTGACCCAACTGGCCCCAGCAGAACTTCTCCAGAATCGAGGCAGTGTGGGACAGTGGTTAGGGGCGCAGCCTCTAGAATCAGATGCCCCCACTTGACATGGCATCAGTTCTGACTGCTAGGGGTAAAAATGGGCACCCTAAACCCCATGAGACTTCACAGTCCACTTCCTGTAGAGAGGGATTTCTACCATTCTCAGTGCTGATAAATAAATTAGTGTAGACTTTAAGAACAGTGCATATGTAAAAATGCTAAGCCAGGTATGGTGGCACATGCCTATAATCTCAGTACTCAGGAGGCTGAGGCAGGAAGATCACTAGTGGTTCAAAGGCAGCCTGGGCAGCAGGAAATGCATAGTGAGAGACTGTCTCAAAAAACAAAAAAACAAAAAAAGGTGATGGGGCTGCCTCATCCTAGGTATTCTGGACTACAGCCTTCTAGAGCAGTGGGCATAGAAAAAGCCCTGAGGGGCACCTGAGTTTAAATAAAATGGACGCAGAGAGGTGTGTAGGTCCTTTTACTAGTTTTCTATATCTTTTTATTGTCATGGAATATAGGACTACATTTCCCAGCATGCTTTGGACTGAACAAGGTCACGTGCAAGATCTGTCCAATGGGGTGAGAGTACCCAGCTCTACCAGAGTTCCCCCCCCCCACTCTTTCTTTTCTGTTGGTTGGGACCAAGTCTTCCTAGAACCACGTCCCCAAACCTATGAAGCCACCACAGCAGCCCTAGATTATTAGCACTGGGCAGCAAAGAGGGATTTCCAGCTTCCAGCTCATTCATACTTACAACTCACCTAAGCCATCCTGGGCCTGTGTGAACAGCCCAGTAAACTGTGTGATCCTCCAGCTCACTCTGAGTCATTCCAGGCCACCTACAAATATTTGCTTATAAATCCTCAAAGCTTGCCAAAGTCAGCTAAGACTGCAAGGTGCAGTGCTGGGTGGTTACCGCCACCTCTCACGCATGCTCCCACCCTCCTTCCTTTCTTCATCCATTCCACCTCTGAGGCTCAGGGGATGAGAGTCTCAGCCAGGAGGATTCTTGGGGCCATATTTCTTTGGCTAAAGGAACATCGGACCAGAGGCTCTGGATCAGCACGGAGCCCAGGGAGGTCCCAGAAGGTGAAGAATTTTTTTTGGGGGGGGCGGTGAGTAGTGGCTCAGGCTGCCTTAAGGGCGGGTCTGGTAAAGCATGTGGAGCTGGGGATCGAACTGCAGCCCCCTGGGCCTGACTGGGTTTGCTGAAGCAGCCGCTTAAACAACTGAGCTAACCCACAAACTCCCAGAAGGTGAGGTCAATTGGTTCCCACCCACTGGGAAATGGTGGGGAGGGCGCAGGGCAGGCTGGGCCGGGGCTGGGCTCAGGAGGGACTCTGCCATGGGCTCAAGACTTGGGGACCAGAGGCTGGCCAGATAGCACAGCGGACTGAAGCCCCTTTGATCCCAGGTATGCTGTGCTGCACCCGCCCTTGGGGCACACTGAGCCGGTGATTGAGACTGGGCATGGTGGAACATACCTGTAATTCCAGCGTTTGGGAGTCTGAGAACAGGAGAATCACTGAGTCCGATCTATGTAGTGAGACCCTGTAAACCCTGTCCTAAATACATTAAAAAAAAAAAAAAAAAAAAAAGACTTGGGGACCAGTCCTCATAGTCTGTCCAATCTCCCACCTCAGTTATTCAGCCCTTTTCCCAGAGACCCCAAAGAAGGTGTTCAAAAAAGGAGTGAGAATGTGATAAAGAAGAAATAGTTTTTTTTTTTTGTATTTGTTTTTTGTGGGTGGGGGACCAGGAAAAATAAGTGGGGAACATCACTGTCCTGGGCGGGTCTTAGTTTAACAGTGGACGCTGGCTGTCCTGGAGATGAGGCCGAGGCTGTGATGCTGCCGAGTGTCCACATGACCTCGGAGATCCCCAAGATCCTGTTGGCATGCTGTGGTCAGAGGCTCAGATGTATGTGGCATTAGAGGCCAGGCTAGGACTATCCCGGAGGGCAGGTGCCGAAGGCCAGCCTGGAGAGGAAGGGAGAGAGCGCCCCATCACAGGCAGACTTGGGCCCAGCCCTGAGATTCAGATTCTGCACCAACGCTGTCAAATCTCATCAAGCGATACCATACGGACATTGTTGAAGGGGTCTGCAGGCAGAAGCCGGAAGCAAAGTAGGTTCCTTAGCAGCTTCCACATGAAGAACTGGCGCGTGAATGCACAGTGCCAATGCCAGGCCTTGCAAGCACCTCAGATGCACATGCCGTCTGGGTCAGAGTGCAACACACGCACGCACACACGCACGCACGCACGCACGCACACACACGGAGGTTACAAACACCAGCCACAGGTGGGCACTGTGGACATCCCTTGGTGAGAGCTGGGTGCCCCAGTCCTTCATTCTAAGGCAGCTTTCTGTCTAGCTAAAAGGAGGTGCAGGGCTGGGGCGATAGCTCAGTAGAATAAACGCTTGCCTGGCAAGCTCAAGGTCTTGAGTTCAATCCCCAGTACTGCAAAATAAAGAGAGAAAGAAATAAAAATAAAAGGAGATGCAGAGTGGGAAGTGGTCAACAGGGCAGAAAGGAAGGCAGCGGAAGAGATTTTTCTAGCGGTGAATGCACCTGGAAAGAAGAGGCGCGAGGTTCCCTGTAGGCGGGGGCACGGGCTCGGGCACAGGTCCTCAGAGCGCACAGCACTGAGCTGCATTCTGTTTCCTGGAAACCCTGACAGTATGCGTCTGTCTCTCCTTTCTTGTGCTGGGGATGGAACCCAGGACTTCCCACATGCTAAGCAGCTGCTCACCACTGAGCCACACCACCAGCCCTTTTTGTTTCACTGTGGTGGCTTCCTGGGCTCGGGAATGAGTTTTTAGGAAGACGTGGCCCAACCAATAGAAAAAGAGAGTTAGAGAGGGAGGGACCCTGCTGGAGCTGAGTACACTCTCACCCCATTGGCCAGACCTTAGTCACGTGACCTCCAGCCCCAAGGGATGCTGGGAAATGTAGTCCAATAGTCCATGGCTTGCGAATGAAGTCGGTGAGGCTGGCCTTCAAGTTGTGATCCTCCCTTCTCAGCCTCCTGAGTAGCTATGCTATCAGGAGACTGCCACACACCCAGCTACGTTGGTTCCTCTCCATTGACTCTGCCTGCTTTAGCAGTTAGCCAAGGGAGGGGCACGTAGCCTCTCCCTCCCCTCCCCCCAGCCAACTCTAGATGAGCTCTGCTCTGGGGTTCCCTGACCTCATCTCGTTTAATCCTCTTGTCAGCGTCCTCTCGGGGCCGGTGGTAGTATTTTACCCCAAATTATTGCAATCAAGGCTTTCCAAAGGGCTTCGGCTCTGGGCAGGGGTAGAGTTTGCGCGAGCAGTACCCAGTTGTCCCTGGTCTGGGGAGGAGCCCATTCCTGGGGTCCTGAGTCAAGAGAGAGCTGGAGGTGGAGGCGCAGGTGGGTGCTGGGCAGGGCAGGGGCTGGCCCAGGGAGAAGGGCCCCACTCACCACTGCAGGGGCTGGGGCTGGATTCCGCGCCTGTGTGGGCTGCAGCGGCTTCTGTCACTATTTCCACTTCCTGCCAAGGAAGGCGATGGAGCTGAGCCAGAGAGTTCAGTGACTCGCCTAGGGTCACACAGCACACAGCCAGTGGATTGCAGCGCTGGGAGGGATCCACAGCCAAGCCTCCTGGACACAGAGCCGTGA